AATTGTTACTGAATATGTTAAAGCTGTAATGAAATACTTCTTCTAATCATGTAGTTATTAAATTAAAAAAAATAAAGCGGGCTGAGCAGGGGCCAGGGGAGCAAGTCAGTAAGCAGTGATCCTCCACGGCCTGTGCTTCAGTTCCTGCCTCCAGGTTCCTGCCCTGAGTTCCTACCTTGGGCCCCCTAATGAACTGTGACCCGGGAGATGTAAGCCGAATAAATCCTTTCCTCCCCAAGTTGGTATTGGTCAGAGTATTTTGTCACAGCAATTGAAAGCAAACTAGAACAAGTGGGATATCATCAAATGCTTATTCTGGCCCAAAGTTAACCTGATTCTAAGGGAGGACAGTGAACTCCACATATCATCCACATCCAAGCTAAATTTCTAGAGACACAAGGCATCCCAAACAGGGAAAAACAGGATGACAATAGCCAGAGTCACTGTACTCACCTGGAGGGAGAAAGAGGGCTCCACGAAGGCGGCCTTCCTTAACCTGGATCCTCGTGACACCAGGTGCCACATACCACCTTTCCAAAGTCAGGCTGTCCTTCGGAGCACCGGGAACTACATTTTTTATTGGAAAATAAGGGTCACAAACTTTTACCTGGACTTGGAAGGGGCTGTTCATCACATCTCTTTTTGCTAGTCTAGTTAAGAGCTTTTCAGGTTTCAAGGACCATAAAAGACCCATGGGATGGACACCCACATAGTCTCCTCCAACTGAGGCATCTCGCTCCAAGTCTACCTCTCCAACTTCATTGGCCTTGTAGAAGGCCTGAGACTCAAACAGGTTCCCCTTCTCATCTTTCAATGATGCCTGAAGACACACGACCTGGAAGGGAGTCAGGCCTGTAACTTGGATGTGCACTGGCTCATCAACTAGCGCACTGAGAGGAGCAGCTGTCAGCTGAGCCATTTTTGCAGACGATTCTTCTGGAATATTGTCACCAAAACCTCAAAACAGAAAGAAATAAGGATTAAGGAAATAAAAGTAGTAATAAGGTTAATGAGTAATAAAATGTTGGAAATCAGAATGGCATGCTTTAGGCTGAAATGGATCTGAAACTTTAAGATCAGGCTACAGTCTCTGCTGAAGGGATGGGGGGCTGAAAACAGCAGCCCTCAGATCCCTGTCTCACAGGACACAAGAAAAAAGTGGCTGGGTCAGGGAAAGCATCTTAGTCAACAGCCCTCCTTGTCCTGAAGAAATAACTCTCAGCTATCACTAGCTAAAAGAATAGACCAGGTTAAAAGTTTACTCCTGGGATAAAAGCTAAAAGTTTTCTATGATCTTTGTCATAAGAAAGAAAACATTATGGCCAATAACTAACCAGATAGGCACTGGTAACCCTGAGTAAAAGTTCAAGCACCCTGCTTTACAAACAGCCTCTTGCTGGTGCCGGTTAAAAAGTTATATGCCCTGTTTCTTGTCTAATTGTGCCCTAAATCTTTGTATGTAACTGCCAAATCCCATGTGACTGCCAGTTCCTTGTACTGAGAAAAACCACTGATTTTTTCATAAATTTGGCTAGTTACAAAAGATTTCAGGCCCCAGGGCCATGCCCCTGCACCACTGGTATCGCCGTCACAGAAGCAAAGTGCAGAATCCCCGCAATAAAAAGGACCAGGAGTTAAACCTTTTAGGAATCAGTTTTAACTCTCCACGATTTGTAAATATTGTGGAATAATTTTGTAATGCAGACATATAGAGTTGTCAACAAATTTCTAAGAAATAAAAAATATTTTGTAAGTTTTATAAATCTAAGCACAATGCAACTATATGTGAACGATGCCAGTGCGTGAAGGAGGATATCACAGTCTGTCACGCACAACTCTGGAAAAAGCAGAGATCATGGAGAATGTTTTGCTTTATTATCTTTCCATATAGAATGGTTGACAGCACTAATCTTTACCACAAGAGCACATGTGTTCCATCTTAGAGAAAAAACAGCAAATCAAACAAAAAATATCACTTTGATTTTAGGATTTACCCAGTCCTAAAAGCAAAATTAGAAACCCATGGATCTTCAAGTACAAAGAAGACTTACTGAAATTGTTGCAACCTTATCTTTAAATATTAACAAGTGTAACCACTGCTACTAACAAAATTTTTGTAATCTTATCTTTAAATATTGACACACATATAGCCACTGTTACTAACAACCAAAACACATCAGATCTTTGTCTATGTATCTGTTTTTTGTTGTTTTCATTGCAGCTCATTAGAATTCTCAGGATGCTACAAATCTAAATGAATTAAACACTAGTAAGTGGTAAAGCTAAACCTAGGGGACAGGAAATTTTCTTTCCTACACGATGATTTCCAATTAGATAAAGTAGAAAAATACCCATAGATTAAAAAGATGAGAAATAAACAGAAAAGGTCAGTTTATATTAAAATGATGAGTGGTAGGTGGTTTGATGGAACTCTGAGAAACTCCTGCCTGCAGCACTTCTCCATCTGCCCGCTGTCTACAGGACTTCACCACAAACTCAACGGTAGTACATCAAGTACTGAGAGCAGAGACACACACCACAGCAGCCAGCCATTCCAGCCTTCAAGTAAGACAGCCGCTCTCCAAAGGATGAAGGCAGAAGACCAGAGAGTTGTCCCCACAATGCCAGGAAGGTTGCTGCAGAGTTGGGCAAGCTCTCTACTGACCCTTCCTCCAGAACTATAAATCTGATTTTCTCACAGTTTGAAAAGTAAGCAAAGAGCAGTGAACCACAAAGCTCTCCCCCAATTTACCAGTGTCTTCTGAAGGGAAGAGCCTATTCCTGTCTCCAAATATCTTTGAAGCCAGTGGTGCACTGGATCAAATAAAGCTGCCACAAGTCACAGACCTAGCTCAAACACAGCTCAGACCAGACTGATTAGCCCCTAATCCCAACATTCTGACAGAGTAGGGGCAGGCTCTTTTCTAGAGGTAAAAATTATTTTCTTCAGACATTATTTTTATACAATACATTTATGATTCAAAGTTCTTAAATTATGAGACAAAATATGTAGAAATCATGATGTTAAAAGGAAACAAGTAGTCTAACAGAAACAGAAATAGCTTATATATTGGAACTATCAGACAGAAAACAGAAAGGAACCAACAAACGTAAGAACAGCTCAATCCAAAGGATCTGAACTAAACCACAAAGAGAAAGAAGGTTAAAAAGAAGAGCACTTCAAATGGATGGGCATATATTTAAATATATATACACACTCTAATATAAATTCTCTAGTAATTTCCATCATGGAAAGAATGTTAGAAGAAATATTTGAAAAAACAAGGGCTGAATGTTTCCCCAATTTGCTGAAAAACATCATGCCACAGTTGGCAAAAACCAACAAAACAAGAGGGAACAAAAAATAAATCATAGCTATTGTGTTACAGTCAAAGTGATAATACACAGAGTAAATTTTAAGGTAGCCAGAGAAAAATAGGAACATTACACACAAAATCATGATGAAAAATAAATAACATTTGACACTATCATAACAATGAAAATGAGATAATAAACATTTAGAGTGGCAAAAGAAGGAAAAACCAAAAATAAAATTCCTGAAGGCCCTTACAGAACAAATACACCCTTCAAAAATGAAGGCGTGATAAAGTTATTTCAAGGAAACAAAACAAGTGCAAAGTTACATCTGTAATAAATTAGTACCTCAACACATGCTATGTGGTGGGCTGGAGAGATGGCTCAGTGGTTAAGAGCACTGGCTGTTCTTGCAGAGGACCCAGGTTCAATTCCCAGCACCCACATGGTAGCTAACAACTGTCAGTAACTTCAGTTCCAGGGGAATCCGACACCCTCTTCTGACCTCCAAGGGCAATGAACAACATCAGTGCACTTACATACATGCAAGAAATAGACTCATACACATAAAGTAATAAAATATTTTTTAAAAAAGAAATGCTATGTTGGAGGGAAGCTATACCAGGGAGACAACTTCATGTGACTGAGAAATAATGGAGAGCAAAATCATGTCTGTTATCTGGATAAATATAAAAACTAGTTTTCAAAATATGCATGTGTAGATTTAATTATAAGAGGTTATAATAATTTAATAATATAATAATTTAATGTAAAAGTAACTATTGTATGGTTTATATAGAATGTAGAAATAAAATATAATGACAAGTGGGAGTTGGATAAATATAGTAAGATTCTTATATCACTGTTTTCCAAATAATACAAGATATTCTACAGGTAGATGATGATGACTGAAGGGATGTGTCAGGATGTCACTGCTAAGAGATGACAGAACTGAGAGAGAGAAAGAATATGAGAATAATTCATTATAGCAGCAAGCTACAGGTGAAAGGAGGAAACCTTAATCACCTTCTGGGATGGTAGGGCAAAAGTCTAACAGACCTTCTCATGATTGAGAGTCTCACAAAAAAGGCTGACAATTTTATGGATCAAGTAAGAGGTGAAAAATGCTGACTATGCAGTCAGATCTGGGAAAAGTGTTTTTAAATTTCATCCTTCCTCCAGGCATAAGGCTGTGCATGTGGAGGAACTTGGGCTTTGAACAAATACCTGAGGAAAAAAAGGCCTAAAAAGGGGAGCGGGAGCTGGAGAGATGGCCCAATGGTTCAGAGCACTGACTGCTCTTGTAGAGGATCTGGGTTCTAGTCCCAGCACCAATATGGCTACAACCTTCTATAACTCCAGTTCCAGGGGATTTGCTGCCATCTTCTGACCTCTGTAGGCATTGCATGATACAGGTGCTCTTACACAAATGCAGACAATATATTCCTACATATAAAATAATAAATAGCATATTTTTAAAAGACCTAAAAAAGAAAAGCACCATGGTAGGAATGCAAATAAAAAGGGGTAACCAGAGTGGAGTCTTTGACTGCATCTCAGAAGTGGCTCCTTTCCTGAGTCTTGCTAGTGAACACCTGTGCTCCCAGCACTAGGACGGTTGAAGATGGGTGAATTTAAGACCAGCCAGGGCTATATAGGGAGATCCCGTCTCAGAAATACAAACTAAAGAACAAAAACAACAATGACAAGAAGAAACAGTCTCTAGACCACAACGTTTGGCATTTCAAAAGGAGGTCTCAAAGTCAAGAGGATAAAAATCATCTGAGATTCATTCTTTTATGTATTTGGAGTTGATACTGGCTCAGAAATGGGGATACCATTTCCAGTATATGTAGGCCTCCTTGTGGACTTTCTGCATGAGCTAGTTTGGGTTTCTCACAGTATAGCTGGAGTGCAAGAGATAGCCAGATGTCAATGGTAATCTCTGCTATTTTATATTGACCGGAGAAGTCATGGGGCCCCATCAGTTTTCAAGTGGACAGAACACAGAATAGAGACTTTTCTGACAGTGGAGTAAATACCAGTCACATTGGAGTTGGGAGAGAGAAGGTGTGGGATGTGTGTAGTTACTTCTGCATATATTTGTGCTGCTATCTGTGATCTTTTACAAATGCAATCTCCCGCCACAGAAAAGGAGGAAAAAAGAAGCAGATAATAAATGGATTAAATAGAAAACAAATACCAAAATGGGAAATTTCAACACAATCATATTTAAAATTGCATTAAATATAATGGACTAAGTACTGATTATAATATGTATTTTGTCAGAATCATTGATTGCTGAAAAGCAATTTTCTATATTTTAGAAACACCATCAAAATACAGACTAAAAAAAAAAGAAGGAAAATAAGAAAGCTGTGGGACTACATTTATCAACTTGGATGATACATTTTACATAATTATGTGCATATTAATACACATCAACTTAGATGTCAAGATAAAGAGTGTTTGAGATATATGCAGGAGCATTTCATAATGACAAAAGATACAATAATCCTAAATGCACATGCACTCTGGAATAACAAGTGTTTTCAAACATGCCAAAATGAACAAAATAATTCAAAACCACAGTTGATGATTTTAATACTTCTCTCTCAGTAATTCAAGTGCATTAAAAAATCAGATGTAAACACTTTCAAAAAAACTTGATAAAACTGACATGTATAAAATTCTATACTTTGAAACTACAGAATATATATGGAAACCAGGGTACTACTGGATCCAGTGGCATATACCTATAATCCCAGTACTCTGGAGGCTGAGTCAGGAGGAATGTGAGTTTTAGATCATCTTAGGCAACATTGTGAGTTGAAAGTTAACCTAGACTACACAGCAAAACAAACACAAAAAAATCAAAACAAGACCAAAATGAAACTTTCTGCTTAGAATGTAGGAAACCAGCAATAGGAACTTCAGAATGCAGAAAAGTAAATGTCAAAACTGACTGAACAATGTCTGTAATAGCCACAGTGTCTGAGTACTTGAAATAGTGGCCGTAAGTTCATGTTCAAGTAGCGATGAAGGCACATAGGAAATGAGAAAATATTTAAATAAAATGATATTGAGAACAAAATATATCTTGATTCTGATGGATTTAGTTGTGAGAGTAAGGGTGCACTCATCAAGTGCAGACACCCACGTATATCAAGGTCAGGGGCAGTGAGTACTGCCAGGCTCAAGTTCCATCAAATCCAATGTGCCCTTCTTCTACATCTACCTTCTCATATCAACAGCCTAGAAGTTCAAGCTCCAAAATTCCAGCACCAGATACAGAGAAAACAATCATTCAGTGTCTTCTAAACCCTTTTCCACAATAGTATGAGATCAAATCTGTAACAGAAATACATTAGTGACCTCAGAAGGGGTAGCAGAGCCAGATGTGGTAATGCATGCCTGTAACCCTAGCACTTAACAGGCTGAAACAGGAGTTGGAAGCAAGCCTGGGCTCCATGATGAGTCCAAGGCCAGCCTAGGCTACACAGCAAGACCGTATCTCAATAAACAAATGAATGAATAGCTAAGGTGAAGATTATCAACTGAGAGTTCAGGTGTTAGGTTCAGGCGTTAGATGCAGGCTAATCTGTGTGAATTTTTAGAGAGATAAGGTAGTATGTTAAGGGCAGAATGAGGACAAATTGAGAAATGAAAACGAATCTTTAATCTTTCAAAATTAAGAGCAGAAATAGAGGGGTGCTTTATGGATGAGAGCTTGCTTTCCCTATCTGAACTTCCCCTAGATGCTCAGTTGGACATAACAACACAAGAGTAATTTATTTTGAGGGAATTCTAAGGACCATCAGTAGAAAGTAAAAAGCTATATAATAAATGCCAAGTTGAGCGTGGTTCTTGTACACATACATTGAAGATAGAGAGTTGGGTTAAACACAGGCATGAATAAGTGGTGATAATCAGTCTACAGTAAGAAGTTCAGAGAAGACTTCAGTGATTACGGCATTGCATCCTATTGCCTTCAATATATTGTTTCCTGAGAATCTCAAAACAAGTGATTTTAGAGCTCAAAAGTATCATATTTGATTTGTTACTGTATTCTAGAAATTGACCACTTAAGTTACACAGAAACACAGGATAGAGTCAGGAATGGAATTCATATCTCCAACTCTTCATTAAATTATTAGTAGCTCAACAAGAAATTTTCTAGTGAGTCACTGGAACATTAGGTTTAGCCTGTTCCAAAGGTGTGGAATTCCTTCCACAAATTATCTATTTAAGCGTCTATTTAAGCTGTGTGCCTAAGCAGGAGGAGTTGGAGCCATTTGCTTCTAATTCAGCTTGTGCTTGGTATTTTGTTGTTTGTTTTTATCTCAACGATGGTTGGCTACGTTTCACTACCAGAAAGCAGTCCCAGGTTGCACAAATAGGTATGGGGTCTGTGCTTCAAGAAATTTTTTTCATAAAATGTAATTCTAATACATTGTTAGACTCACCTTCAAACAAAAATCATCTTTTAAATGAAATAAATGGACAATTAGTGCTCACTTCAGCAGCACATATACTAAAATTGGAATGATATAGAGAAAATTAGCACGGCCCCAGCGCAAGGATGACACACAAATTGGTAAAGCATTCCATATTTTTTTTAAATGGACAATTTAGCTTCCCATACTAAGAGGGCTTTTTTCCCTATCATATTCTAGAAAATAGTCCTTTAAAAGAGGGAGAACTATTCCTGGAGATAAGGATAAAACAAAGGAAAGTCAAGTGATTTCTGATAGTCTTTTGTCTTCCTCAAAAACATCTTTGTGTTCTCATTGATTGCAGTTCTGTAATGGCTTTGTTTCTAAGCAAACCCCGACTGATGTCCTACAGTCTCTGGGGACATCAAAGCTCTCTGAGATTACAAAATGAAAAGAAATATTTGTTTTGGAATCTAACAGATGCCAAACACTGGAATAAAAACCTGACTCTTTTTTCTAATTCAAGAGCTGAGATTTTTAACCTGTTTCCAATCATCTCAGAGCAAACCGCTTTGATCACAAGCCAGCCAATGTATCTGTGTCTTCTTGAGACACACAGCTCCTGCCCTTCATTCTTTGCTCTGGTCTCCTATTAACATTTAAATTTGAATGAACCTAGCCCCTTTCTTTTTCTCTTTTGATGATTTATTTACTTATTTATTTTTGAGACAGTCTTACTATGTAGACCAGGCCTGCTTTGAACTCACAGAGATCTGCTTGCTTAAGCCTCCCAAATGTGTAGTGTTAGGATAAAATGTGAACTACTACACATGAATGGTTTTTTAAATTATGTATTCATGTATTTTGTGTGTACATGTGTGAAGGGGGTACAAGTGAACCATGGAGTGCACACAGAGTCAGAGGACAGTGAACTCTGGTCTCCAAGTTTGGTGGCCAGCAGCTTTACTGGCTGAACCATCTCCCTGGCCCTTTGTTTGTTTAAATTTCTACTGTAACTATGGTCTTATCTGTTTTCTACTTGAAAGAGAGAGAGAGAGAGAGAGAGAGAGAGAGAGAGAGAGAGAGAAGAGAGAGAGAGAGAGGAGAAAGCCAAGGAACTACAGCAGGACTCTGAATTCGTCAAACATTTCTTTCCTGAGTTATGCCAGCTGGAACTATAAATGTGGTCACAGTAGTAGTAACAAAATACCTTTTAAGGGCTTAATTCCCACTTCTGGAATCTGGAGACACCAGATTTTGTACATGGCCTGTCCTCAGTTAATGCATATGGACTCTTGAGATAACTATAATATGGAGTTCGAGTGAGCCGGCCAGAAACTAAAAGGTCTAGTCCCATGAAAACATCTGGATCTTTTAAAATTTGAAGTGATATAATTTAAAAAGTGCAAACTTAAAGGAAACATAGTAAATTTCATTAATGTTAAGGCCCTTGATGGAATCAAATGCTGCATAAAATAAGTTAAAAGCTGCTAATTTGAAAAATATTTATATACAAATCTGACCAAGAGATACTAGCCAGAATATATAGAATTTCTTAAGACTGATTGTTAAGACTGTTGAATATTGTATAAAAAAATTTAAACAGGTACTTTACAGATGAGGAAAAACAAATGTAAATATACAGAAAGGAGTTTTAATATCAATGTCATTAGAAAAATGTAAATTCAAATCATAGAGTATATTTCACATCTACAAGACTGAAAAAAATTAAAAATTCTGAAAACAAAAATTGGTTAGGAACCTTGGATTGCCAAAGCTCATGCTCTGCTTAGGGGGTATGAGTAGGTATAGTCACACTGAACACCTGGGCTGGAGAGATGGATCAGCGGTTAAGAACACTGGTTGTTCTTGCAAAAGACCCGGGTTTGAATCCCAGCACCCACATGGCAGCTAACAACTGTCTGTAACTCCAGTCCCAGGGGATCCAATAGCCTCTTCTGACCCCCATGGGCATTGCACGACACGGGTGCACTTACCTACATGCAGACAATACACACATACACATAAAATGAAATAAATAAATAATTTTAAAGTTTTTTAAAAAGCTGAACAAATGTCTATTAAAAATAAAATGAATTCTGACATATTCATATGTTATAATTATAAAGTGTAGACTGTTATAAAAATTTTAAATCACAAGTATACACCATAACCTTGAAAAATCTTACACATGAGTTTAGAAGCAAGTCATAAAAGAACACAAAGGGCTCTAAAAATTTTATATGCTAAATTAAAACCATAGGGCATAGTTAAATCTTCAAAGAAAATAAAAACTATTATAAAAGTCAGAATTACGTGAAAACATCAATGCAGTAACACTGATAGTATAATAAGTAAATGATTGGAAGAAATAAACCATGCAACAGTGGGCGAGTGTAAGAAACCTGACTCCCAGCACCACAAAAGGAAAAACAATGAAATAAATAATAAAGAGAAACCACAAGTGAAGTAGAGCAAGACATGTACAGCATGCATAAAGCCCTGGGTTCAGTCCTTTAGAAAATAAATATTAAAACTTTGGGGGATGGTTAAGAGTGCTTGCTGTGTAATCAGGAGTACTGAAGTTTGGATCCCAACAGACACCTAGCAATCTGGGCTCCCACAAATATCTGCAACTCCAGTTCCAAAGGCTCTAATGCCCTCTTTTGGCCTCTGTGCAAGAGGTGTGCACACCTGCACACACATGCATATGCACATATACACACAATAAATCTCTAATTAAAAAAAAAAGATGTCATAAGCTGTGTCATAGAAGAAGACATAGGCAGTACCCTACAAGATATAGGTGTAGGAAAAGACTTTCTAAATTGGATATCATTTGCTCATGCATTAAGGTCAATAATCAACAAGTTAAACTTAAAAGCTCTGTTCAGCAACAGAGTTGAAACAGCCAAGAAAGTGAAGAAGAAACCCACTGAGTGGAAGAAAATCTTCACTGGCCACATGTCCAACAGAGGATTAATATCCAGAATATACAAAGAACTCAAAAAACAAAGAAATAAGAAAATAAATGACCCAATAAAAGAAGGGCTAAGGACTTGAACAGAGAGTTCTCAAATGAAGAAATAAAAATGGTTAAGAAACACCTTAAAAGGTGCTTAACATCCTTATTAATTAAAGAAATGCAGATCAAAACCACTTTAAGATTCCATCTCACCCCAGGCAGACTGGCTAAGATCAAGAGAACAAAAGCCACAAATGCTGACGAGGATGTGGAGAAAGGGGAGCGCTCATCCGCTGCTGGTGGGACTGCAGATTTGTGCAACCACAGTGGAAAACTGTGTAGAGAACTCTTAAAAAACTACAAATGAACCTACCATATGATCCGGTTATACCACACCTTGACATACACCCAAAGGACTCATCCTATTGTAGAGGTACCTGTACATTCATGTTTGTTGCTGCTCTTTTTACAATAGCTAAGAAATGTAAACAACCTAAATGTTCCTCAACTGATGAATGATAATGAAAATATGGTACATTTACACAATGAAGTTTTACTCAGCCATAAGGAAAGATGAAATTATGAAATTTGCAGGTAAGTAGATGGAACTAGAAACTGTTTTACTAAGTGAAGTAACTAAAAATCAAGCAGTGCATGTTCTCCCTCATTTGTGGATTGTGATATAGATCCTCATGGTAACAGTCAGGAAAATGGAAAGGAAACACTGAGATAAAGGGAAAGAAAGAGCCCCAAAGAGGAGGCTATTAGGGAACAGATATTACCAAGTGGGAAATTGGGAAAATGGGGATATTCCACTGGGAAGGGAGATGGAAAGGACACACAAGCAACGGGAAGAAGGAACTCAAGAGAGGGGGCATAATAGGAGACAGGTATCATCAAGAGCAAAATGGGGGCACTTAAACAGGGAGAAGGAGAGAGAGACAGAGAGAGAGAGAGAGAGAGAGAGAGAGAGAGAGAAAGCTTAGGTGACATAAAAAGCCAGGGGGAAATGTAGTAAAACAAATCCCCACCCTGAAAAGTACAACATACACTATCTGAACATTAGTGCCTGTTATATAACCTACAGGTTATATAACAGTGCTACAGACAGACAGACAGACAGACACACACACACACACACACACACACACACACTCAATCACACACACAGCCAGACAGGAGAACCCTCCCTTCAAGCTATTGCTCAGAATAGTCCAAGAGATCCCCAAAACAACACAGACTATTGTCACAGCCTTTGATTACCTCCAATAACTTGAAGGTAAGACCCTACTGCTGAAGACAGGACATACTTCAGACTCAGAACTTGGAGCAATGGAGCTGGAACTGACCTGGAAGCCTTCTCCCTGAACACTAGCTCTCATAGTTCTAGAGGATACTATGTAAGCTGCTATGGAAGAAAATCAATCACAAGTCCAACCCTGCTCTACAGTCCAATAACCATAATGACTAGCAAAGCATATATGACCTGGAGGATGTTCTTCTGACCCTGTGATGACAAGCCATGGATCCACCTCCTTCCCACACTCTGCAAAGAAGCCACTCCCCTTCCCTCTTCCACCCAATCGGTTGACCATAGCCACTTGCAGGGGAGGGGCTAGGGGTATAAAAGCTGGGAAAACCACACAGCTGGCCTCCCGCCATTTTGTAAGGCTGTCCAGAACCACAGATTTATGTCTGGGTATGGACTTTTGAACACAGCCGTGAAGTGGGGGGGGCACTTGTTTGTAAGTAAACCTGCACTGCAAGCTCAGTTAGCAACTCCAATAAACTTGTTAGGATTCTTTAAACCAGGGTTTGGAGAATTTTTTCCTCAGGCTGTCTCAAGGACCATGGGAGGAGGTGATCGTATGCCACGTGCACCTCTCAGCAGTGAAATTTGACTTACAATTGGCATAGCCCAGCAGGATACTACAAAGATGAGAATGAGTTTTGGAAGAGCGTTGACGATGTCTCTGATTTGGGGAAACAGACCAACAACTGAAGTAAAGTGGGGTGAGGGGAGAGTGTGGGCTGAGGAAATGTTAACCTGGTGGGCCATTCCTATAGGTTTGGTGGGGGTGGCTGCAGTGGCATGGTTAATGCAGTAGACAGTGAGATATGTAACGAGGGTGAGGCCTTCTAAATAGTCGAGGTCGATGGGAGAGATCCAGGGTGGCAGCCATCTTGTAGATGGTATGGGGTGGCATGCCTGCTTG